TGCTACGGTGTTCACCAAGATAGATCTGAAGACAGGTTATTGGCAAGTTCGGATTGCAGAGGGTGATGAACACAAGACGACTTGTGTGACAAGAGTATCGGGTCGTACGACTTCCTGGTCATGCCATTCGGCTTCGACCACGCCCCTGCTATGTTTTGCACTCTCATGAACCAAGTCTTCCGAGTGTACATCGACGAATTTGTGGTGGTCTACTTAGATGACATTGTGGTATATAGCCAGACATTGGAAGAACACCTAGTACACTTGCGGAAGGTCCTAGCTCGGTTGCGGGAACATGAACTATATGCAAAGTTATCCAAGTGCTCCTTTGCTCAGAAGCAAATTGATTTCCTCGGACGTGTCATCGAGGAAGGACGCATCAAGATGGACCAACAGAAAATCCAGGCCATCACAGATTGGCCGACACCTAAGGATGTCCACGCCTTGAGGGCGTACCTTGGCCTATGCAACTTCTACCGGCGGATTGTGAAGAACTACTCAGTGCCATTGACAGAACTCCTCAAAAAGGTCACACCTTGGGATTGGGGACCAAGGAGAGCAGAGGCCTTCAACGCATTAAAAGCGGCTATGTCTTGTAGTCCCGTCTTGGCCCTTCCTGATTTGGCCAAGCCGTTCGAGGTACAAACAGATGCTTCTGACTATGCACTCGGCGGAGTCCTGCTACAAGAAGGGCACCTGTAGCGTACGAGAGTCGGAAGCTGAAGGATGCAGAGCGGCGCTATGCCGCCCATGAGAAAGAATTATTGGCTGTCGTCCACTGCTTGCGCCTCTGGAGGCACTATCTGCTGGGAACCCCGTTCGTGGTCAAGACAGACAACACAGCTGTTAGCCATTTCATGACCCAACCGAAGCTGAACGGTCGACAGGCCAGGTGGCAGGAACTCCTAGCTGAATTCCACTTCAACTTGGAGTATCGCAGTGGAAAGACCAATCATGTTGCTGATGCGCTCAGTCGGAGAGCTGATCTAGCATCGGTGTGCCTACTCGCCACCCTAAGGGGGAGCGAAGTAGCCACATCCATCAAGGACCAAATACGGGATCTACTCATCAAGGATCCTGCTGCTCAGTATTTGGTTGATTTGGTAGGACGGGGCAAGACTCGCCAGTTCTACATGGAAGATGGTTTTCTGAAAGTAAAAGGGAACCGACTTTATGTTCCTAAAGGAGGAGATTTGCGGAGGACTCTTCTAGCGGAATGTCATGATACTCTGTGGGCCGGCCATCCCGGTGAAGAACGCACCATGGCGTTACTTCGTCATGCCTATTATTGGCCTCAAATGGTCGATGATGTCGCTCAGTATGTGAAGACTTGTCTAGTATGCCAGAAGGACAAGTCGGACCGCTTGACACAAGCGGGACTCTTGGAACCACTCGCTGTCCCAAAGAGACCTTGGGAAAGCGTTTCCCTGGATTTCATCACCGGATTGCCCAAGGTCGGAGATCTCACAACCATCTTGGTTGTGGTGGACCGGTTTTCCAAGTATGCCACCTTTATTGCAGCCCCACAATATATATCAGCAGAAGATACAGCTCGACTCTTCTTCTCTCATGTCGTCAAATATTGGGGCCTGCCCAAAGACATTGTTAGTGACCGCGACTCACGCTTCACTAGCAACTTTTGGACCCAACTCTTCAAGTGCCTTGGGTCAAAATTGAGTCACAGCTCAAGTTTTCACCCGCAATCTGATGGCCAGACGGAGCGGTTCAATGGTATGTTGTAGGAATATCTCCGCCACTTTGTAACCGGATCGCAGAAGAATTGGGTGAAGCTTCTGGATGCTGCTCAACTGTGTTTCACAAAAGAGCTCTAGTACCAACAAAAGCGCTTTTGAAATTGTTACCGGACAGCAACCGCTACTCCCACACACTGTGAATGCACCAAACATGGCTAAATCTCCTCGAGCTGCCAGCTTCTCAAAAGAGCGGAAACGGAATTTGGAGATAGTGCGGAGCTATCTTGTCAAAGCCCAAAAGCGGATGAAAGGCATGCTGATCAGAATCGTCGCTTTGTTGAATATCAAGTAGAAGACAAAGTGATGGTCAAAATTCCAAAGCGGTACTTATTTGCAGGGGTCCATGACCCTCACCTATTGCAAAAATACATTGGACCCTTGTCCATTGAAAAGCGTATTGGGAAGGTTGCATACCGGGTGGATACCCCAGCTTGGTGGAAAATTCATCATGTCTTCCATGTCAGTCTCCTGAAACCTTTTCGGGAAGACACGGAGGATCCTTCAAGGAGCCAGCTCACAATACCCAGTATTCGAGGTCCCAATTCAACCGGGAAAAGGCGTGTTGAAGCTATCCTTGATGACAGAGTGATTCATGCCTCAAGGAAAGATCACCAAGAGTTTTTGGTGAAATGGCAGGGCTGTGATGCAGAAGAGAATACTTGGGAGAGGGGAACAAACCTCAAAGCCTACAAGAGCCTCATTGAAGATTATTTTGCAAGTAAGGCGCCGAGGACGTCGCCAACTCAGGTGGGGGAGAATGTCATGGGCGGCTTTCCGGCCATGCCCCATGACCCCTTGGGCGCGCCCCGTGGCGTCCTAGCAAACCTCCCAATGCCTAGAGCCACGGACGGCCCCGTGGTCTTGGCCGCCAAGTGACAAGCGCACAGGTGCCTCTGTTGCCCCACCGATATCCCTCGCGAGCGCCAAGCCGCAGGCAGAAGCCAACAGCGCCGCGCGCGCAGACCGTGATGCCAAAGACACTGCTGCTGACAACGGACCTGCTGCTGCCTTATAGAAAACTAAGTCATTTTCATTGTAAATATAGAGTAGTTTTATTTCATGTACTTCCATTATGTTTCTCTAGCTTAGTCAAGTCTAGTCTTGTAACTTTGGATTATTTTTTTTAAGTACTATTAGGGGGGATCAAGCAATCAAAACTTTCTAGCAAGCAAGCAATTCTCTGCACTGGTGTCTCTCCCCCTCGACACCACGTTGCTTTTCTGTAATAGCTTTCATTAATGCAATCAAGCTTTCTTTCATTCTGAATTCTCATTTCTGTTCTCTCAATTGCTCTTGACATTGGTTTTCCCGTACGGCACTGACAATCTCGTCTAGCGTACGGAGGGGACCTCAGTTGGCGGACAGCAACTGCACTGACATCAGTTGCCTAGCCTTACGTCGCCCTTCCAAGGAATCTCAGGAAGGCGCCGCGTAACATATCTTATACACTTCTCTACTATCATATGTTTATTAGCATGTTAAGCATTTATGTTAAATCATTCAACGGTTTGTTTAATCTTTAAAATCATACATAATTTGAATGCATTTTTTTGTTATTTTTTATTTTCATACTACTAATAATTAGTATTATTAAAAAATTCATGGGATTTACGCCCATTTCGCAAGGGCTTATGTGCCGCCTGGCAATAAGTAAACAACTGTGGGGGACCCCCAGAGTTCAAAACACTGTTTCCTGGTCAAATTACCTCCTGTATAGAATTCAGTAGGCGCCTGCACATTCCCTGGCGACGGTATTTACTGCATGTTGCAATAAGGGGCATCTCAGCAACTGTTACTCCATGGATCCTGCATAAGAACCAAAATTCTGATCAGAGAAAGACTTGTCCTGATGGGAAAAAAAATAAGAAAGATTTGTCCTGATTTAGTGACAGTTTCTTCAAACAGCCAGCAGGATAGCCACGGACGGTGGCAGATCCCGAATTTATAAATCGAACTTCACTGATATTAGTGTAAATTCATAGTGGCACAAAAACTAAACATGGGTATTCATTTGGGTCGGATCGATCAGTTTTTGAGTTAAATCAGATTGATTTACTAGGATTTTATGTTATAACTAGACAAACGATCACAAAACTAAATAAGTTCTGTTTACTTTAGCTTTTTTCACTTTATTCATTCAAATTATATTTGAGTAAATTTAGAAGAAAATATGAAAGACATTGAAACAAGTATGGCCTGTCAAATAGATACTTTGGTGAAAAGAAAATCTCATTTTAAAATTCTTTGTTTAATTCAATTATTCACCTTTAAACTTCTTGGGATTTTTTTCTATCTCAATCTTAATAATTACAACTTCAACAAATTAATGGTTTAGACATACAAAGTAAATACGGAATAGTCAAAATTTATGAAGTGTTACGTTAGATTAAAGTATTCCAAATACAATAATTTGATTTCACGATGCAACCATTTACAATAAGATGAGACTAAGTTTATATTGCTCTATTTAAAATAGTTTACTTAAACATTTAATAACTAAACAACAGTACAAAGTTACAAAAAGATATTCAATAAAAGTATAAAACATAAAGTTTCACTCTTAAACATTTAATATTACACGTTATGCGTTTCACTCCAAACTATGGACAATAAATTTGATTAAGGAATTTGCTCGTAAAGTGAAACAGAAAAGGAAGGATCTTACTTGGTTCAAAATTTTGAATAGAGCATGAGAAAAATAGAGGGAACGACTTGAACCAAGCATAGGTGATAATAAGGAAAGAAATTCCCCTCCAGAGGGATTTGAACCAAGACCTTTGTAGAAAAGAGCTCTACAAAAGCATTCCACACTATGAGCACCCTCTGGGACCTCATCATAGTGGGTGCTATTGGTCACTTTATAGACTTTTTGAAGTATTATTTATGCATACGTAAGACAATTTGGCCAAAGTCAATGGGCGCTGAAGCACCCATACCTCCAAAACATAGATCCACCATTGGCCACGGGTTGTCATAATCAATGATCGAGGATCTGGGAACAAAGTCATAACTATAACTCCTTGTGGCATCCCCTTATAGTAAATGTAGGAATTGGATAGTGATAGTTTGGGAATTCAGTCAACAACTATTAATATCTCTCTTCAAAGCACCTTTCCTAATAGACATGAATGCACCAGTTATACAGAAACCTCCAGATGAAAAAAGTTGAACATTTTTTCTAAGAAATTCCAAAAAAGAATTAATTTTCTAACAAGCAACAACCAAAAGAAACAACCTAAAATGTGTGGGCAATATTTGTATAGCCATCTGATACTAAACCACTGTCTAATATCTCAATTTAAGCAGCCGATAGGAGAAAACACTTTTAATACTCACAAGCCAAGACAATACTTAATACATTTTGAATTGAAAGGTTTACAGTAAGAAACACTAACATAGCATACAAACCGAAAGATCAGATCAAGATGGAACACTGAAAATGAAATGTGACTTTTTTCCTTCTGTAGTTTCAATTCCAATAATGTCTTATTTTCTTCGTTTTGTCCTTTTTTTTAAATAATGAACAAAGGAAAACATGCTGCAATCAAAAGGTACAAGAACACAAAGCAAAACGAAAAAAGATGCATATGCACCGAGAATATCTACATTGCCTTAGAGGTACGGAGTTCATAGAATAAGCAAGATAAAGGGCAATTTCTTTCAAGATGGTAAAGAGTTACCTAATTGATGCTACAGCTACTGATATGTCATCTTTCTCCAGGATCACTGTGTAGAATCCATGATAATTTAATCGTGCAAGTTGTGATCTGTAAAGATTTTAAGGATCAGTCTGACAGCACCACTTAAGTATCATTGTATTGTGTAACATTGATATGAACTAGTCAAATGACACCATGGATACAGGAAAAAAGTTTCCATCTGTTTTGGCTCATTGAATCGATGAAACTCCATCCATTTGTTTGCATATTGCCATACTCCTTAGAACACAATGCTTCAGATAAAAAATTTCTTATAAAGTTGTTCTCTATCATTTCAATATAAATGTACTAATTATTCATAAATTTATTGTTAAACCTCCCATTTAACCATTCCATTCAATTATTTTGAATGAGAACTAAATGAACAGGAAACGTTAGGCATATCAAGTGCAGGGAGTCCAGCAAAAACCACTTATAGCTAATTCCACAAACTGCTATAAAAAAAAGTGGAGAAATAAGTGATACACCACACAGGAAAGCACAGCAGCGCGCAATAAAAGCTGATGTCAAATGGAAATTACTCACCCCCAGCTGTATATTACATGGGGTATCATATCTATGCCTGTTCTCGGGTCCACCATGGGAAGAAAGCACTCCTCCATAATCGTAAGGGCAACTGCTAACTTTGAGTTGCATTCTGCCTTCAAAGCAATAAACCGCTGAGCAGAATGAACTATGTGGTCACCATGAATGCACCTCAGAAGAGTCCATGACAAGCCATCAGTCAGAAGATTAATGAGCCCAATTCGAGAGCGAAGACCTTCATATACCTGCAAAAACCCTAAGTTTTCAAAAGACAACCACAATAATTCATAATCAAGCTTGCAATGAAGTTAGTATTTATTTCAGCAGTACTCGGCATTCCTAGATTTTGTGTTCTCATCAAACACAGCACCGCCTAGAGGACCGATTACTTAAACGAACTACAGATTAACCATGTTAAAGTTTCGTAATGTTCCTTTTCTAAAGAAGTTCACATAAGGTTTGTCATATTTTCTTGTTAATCATAATCTTCGGTCAACAGATTGAATAATATTATTCCATCATGATGCCATCCCAATTGACTCCAATTAACAGTGGGGCCACATTCAAAGCATTTTGCTAATGCATACTGAAAAACTTTCAGACACTAGGAGAACTGCAAAAACAACAACAACAACAACAACACCAGGAGAACTGCAAAAACATGAATATGATACAAGTATTTCAGAACCTCAGGGAAACCATCAAAAGAAGAGAAGACTTAACTGGATGAAGTTCTTTCATGATAAAATTAAATTCACTTATCAAAGAAAAGATCTAACAGGTGACTTAATCCAAGGCCGACCTGTAACTGATGTTTCAAAGCCACAGAATAGTACTCTGGCAGTAAACAAACAGAGGTTTTCTAATATTACTGTACATGGTGCGAGAATTCCTGTTCTTAGTTTAGCTGTTACGTAGAGTATAGACTGACTGAGATGATACATTAACAAAATAACAGTCATATCACATTCTCCACCAAGTCATATTGCATGCAAAAGGAACTAAACCATCAGATAGCATTTCAAAAAATCCACATTAAAACCTTCAAAGAGACAAAAAAGTGAAAAGTCGATTCATTTTATGTACGCTAATTGCATTCAGTACCTACATCACTGAGCAAGCTTGTTTTACAATAGCAGAAGCTGAGATGTCGAGCTCACCTCCTGACAGCTTTCGCTGCAGAACCACGTATCAGAGGCTTCTCCGCCTTTTGTAACCCTTAGCTTACTGCATGCTTCATGGTCTGTTCACAAATCATCAAGGCATTTAGTAACAGAAAAAAACAAGGAAATTTTTGGGAAGGAAGAAATACACCCCCCCCCCCCCCAAAATGACACAACTAAATATGTGAAACAAGACAACTCTCTGATTGAGGCTTGTGAAGTATGCCAAACTCAAAATCTTAGTATTATTTGGGACCGTGCATTATGGTAAGAAGTGAACACAAAGCTCCAATAGCAATATTCGGACATTTGAAGGCCTACAACGGGAAAAGAACATAAACCAAAAAGACCAATCAAGTCAAGTTCATGGGAGTACACACATTTATGCTCACACTGTGAACATTTTAATGCACTGGAGGACCTCAATGCTTCACTAAATTTAACCACGTCCCCACATTTCCTGCAAGTGCACTGTGGACAATACCAACTCCCTTCAGGAAGTTCCTGAAACAAGAAATGATAAAGTTAATCTACTAGAATCTATATCTCTTGTCCAGTATCTTCAAACAAAATGAAGTACTCAATGTATGATACGTAACAAAATCAAAGGAAAACCAGGCCATATGAATGGATATGATATTTTAGAAGGAATATAGTAAATCCATGCCTTGTGCAAAAACAGAAACCACAACAACATCGGTAAATGAATATAGCACCCAAGGGTGTGACCTAGTGGTGAATGAAGTGGGTTGAGAATCATGAGGTCTCAAGTTCAAAACCCAGCTGAGACAAAAAACACTAGGTGATTCTTCTCATCTGTTCAAGCCTTGGTGGACAGAGTTACCTGGTACCTGTTGCTGGTGGAGATAGCACGGTCATGAAAAAAATGAATATAGCACAGGCTTGTAGAGAAGAACATGGTACGATTTATGAGAATGGAAAAAAAAAAGAAGCAAGAAGAACAATGTAAAACAAATAATCAAGCAGAAAAGTCAAAACAAGTTTAGTAAACAAATAATCAAGCAGAAAAGACAATACAAGCTGCCGAACCAATTTGAATCAGAACATCAAATCACTACCATCGATCTCATCAAAACCAGTTCAAAAGCAATGGAGCATTACGGGCATAAAAAACTACCGCAGCAACATGAGTAATACACTAATCGTCTTAGATACTAGCCAGTAAGGAAAAAGAGGGTCAACTGATTTCACATAAACGATCATATACTGGGACCTGGAAGACATGGTGATATAGGTCCATTATTTTTTGTTTGATTCAATTTATAACAGAGATTTCCGTTCTTTTCTTTTTTATTTATTTATTCATTTATTTTTAACAATGAATGGAGATGGTCTTCTATATGATAAAGTATAAGATAAGCAAAATCATACTAGCCAAAGTATATTTTACTTATAGCAACAAACAAGTTGAGCCGTCTTCCTTGAAGTTTAAGGCCTAAATATAGGCCAAGAGTGGGTCCACACATTATGCAAGCTAACATTTTATGCTCGCTCTACGAGACTGATTTTGATTTTAACTAATTCATAATTACCACCATCATGACAGAATATGTAATTGTTAGTTTTAACAAAATGACTTGATTTTTCTTGATCATTAAGATAGTGACTTTTGCTAAAGATCAACAAAGTGATTTACGTCACAACCAAAAGTTAAACACCTTCACAATTAGGAATTAAGAGATGTACCAAAAAGCTGGACAAAGATAATTCAGTTCGACTTCAAACATGGTAATATGTCAACCAACTGAGAAGTCAATAAATTAAGTATAAGTAAAGACTCATGCAAAAAAGGGCTTCCGCCCTCTTTAGTTCTCCATTTGAAACAGGCAAACAGCATGAGAACTTCTTGAAATCCAAAAAATCAAAAGAAACTCTTAAATAAACTGAATTTGCATCAATATGCCCAAACTAATAAGTGCAGCAGTTCATATTGTGGGAAAAAAACTAATCCCCAAATGACTAGGTAAAGTACCAATAGAATAGGAAAACATGTGAGAAACTGAAAATAAGATATTTGGCCCAAAAGTGGCTGAAATAACAGAATATGGGTCAGAAAACAACCTCAATCAGGAAAACCTAGATTATCACTATATAGGGCTTGAAGACACAATTTTGGAAAATCTTATAAGACTGAAATGTAGAACACAAGCTTTGGCATTTGAAGTGGGCTACGTATCTAGCCAATAACTCATCCTCCAAGTCCCAGATCACCATATCTATGATAAATGTGTCAGGTGTGAAATAATAGTTGTCATACAAGCCATCTCTTAGCTATTTCATCTGATAGGTCAATAATTTAAGCTGACTCTTTGCTATTAATTTGCTTTTATATCATTGCGAACAAATACGGTATCAGATCCAATAGAACGACCAATTAACTTATTGTGATACCTCTCCAGAAACTCGCAGACAAGCATTAAAGCAGAAGATTCAAATAGCAAATAACAAGCAAAGGAAAGCCCATTTAGGCCAAATTGAATCCTTCTCATTCCTCTCGAACCACAATGGCCTAATATGGGTCATCTGTATGCCACTTATTTTTTAGAAATTTTCTTTGCGTTTAAGATAGTAGATTGAAACCTGTAACGAAATTGGGATGTTCTTAATATTTAGATCAAATTGAATCTACCACAATGGTGAGAGGAATCAAATCTAGAATTGGGATAAAATAGGAAAAAGTGCATACTTCTTGAGTTCTATAGAACTGCCTTACTTTCTAATTAAGCAAGGGCTCATAAATACACTTCAATTTTGCCAGCAAGTGAACTGTAGATAAACACAAGTTGGGACAGCCAAATACACTTGTCAGATTCTTAAAAAGAGGCCAACCGAAGTCTTGAAGTCCCAATTGACATTGAACATGTTAAACTTCATTGATTGCCAAAGAACGGCCGATTAATCCATCAGATCAGGGCTACCAGGACCACTTTCAACAGTTTTTTAAAAAGCTAGCAAAAAAACATGGAGAAGAATTTTGTTAGAGATTTAGTAGTTCTAGTTTTGGGCTTCCGCACTCTTCTGAAATGCATATAATACGGCTTCACCTTCAACGGATAAATGGCAACTTTGAGAGGTCAATTACTGTCTTCTTCAAAATAAACTTAACCATCACTCTACGTTGGTCACTGAGGGTGTCTAAGGAACCTGTTGCTACATATGGGATAGCCTATTTAGAAAGTTGATGCTGGTTGTTCACCAGCACTCTAATGATAAAACACAACCGAATTTTTCAAGAATAAGACAGATCGAAAACTGTTTCAGACAAGTATAGTTTCTTCCTAGGGAAAAATACTTTCATAATATAATGTCAGTTAAACCATATATGAAACACATGCATAAAGCATAAGGAGGGGTCTTTGACATTTTACAATTTACAAATGGGTTAAACATAAATGTTGATCAAGAAAAGAATGCACTCAAGGCAAGATAAAAATACCAAACTGGCTAGAGATAGTTATCCAAGTGAAAAGGGTCAAAAGACAAACCGGTGTGAACAAACAAGCTAGATGAAAGGTAGCTGGACAATTATCACAACATATCAACTCGCCACCATCACCACATCGCCCGCAACTGTCATCATTTTGGTCCCTTTCCTCAGCTTGGCCAGTTTGAGGAAGAGCTCTTCGTGCCTTGTATTCATCTGACCAAGCCTCAAGCTGACATAAGGTAAATGGCTTACCAGACTCCATGAAAAGATTCAAACAGGGACGATTGAGCTTAAAACCAGCATGACTTTTGAACTCAGAGATGGATAGCACCCTGTCACAGCAATTGCAGAATATACCATCCCTAGTTATTACGCCGGTTTTTACCACAGAATCGTCCTTCAAGTTCCGGTACTGGATCACTTCGTTTGGCGAAACAACACCAGAATGAATTAACCAGGATAACACTGTTCTTGAGGCAAAGGTAGGCCATTTTGCTTCGATGAAGTGCTTTCCACCCTTGTTGAGGCTACGTAATAGCAACTTGCAACCGCTTTTCTGGCTCTTCCTTTTCCTCAGCGGTTTAGTTTTACCCCTTTTGTTGCCAGATCTGCATGTCTTGTTTCTAATTACAGCTGAGATTAAGAGATCGTCATCACTAAGACGACATGTCTTAAGTTTCTTTGACCCAATTTTGCGCTTATTTGTAATTGCTTTAAATTCAATACTTCCTCGCAGAGAGTTATCATTGTCAATATTCCCAGAGTTGAACTTCATGTGCACATTAAACTGATTCAATTGCTTAGAACTAGCCAATGTCTGCCTAAACTTCTTGAAATTGCTCTGTTCAGTATTGTCCTGAGACTCTGAACTATGGAAGGACTGCCCTTGATGACCTCTAGCTCTCCCCAGGTAGTCTACTAAATATCCCTTAGGTCTTGAATGTATTTGTAAGCCAGATCCACTGACTTCATGCAATCCACTCTTGTTATAAGATGTACCAAACTTCTCATCTTGGCAGCCTTTAGTAAATTCCATTTCTGATAACTTTTTTGATTTCTTTGAGGCCTTCCTTTTCAAGACTGAACTTGCCGCAAGAGGTATACTGTTGCTATCTTGCTGAGTAAGAACATTATTAGCTCCCCCCAGCGAGCTTAGTGCATTTCCTGAACTAATAGGAACCTCAAACAAACAAGATCCAGCATGCTCACTGGTGCTTTCAGACCCACAAGCTGGTAAAGGAGCTAAATCCAGGACATCTTTACCATTTTCCAAGAGTTTCCTGTATTTATTAGCATCGCCACTGACAGTATCACTTAAGCACATGGATCTTTCATTAGGATAATAATAAGATACGCCATTCAGATATTTGCCTTCTCCCATCTGTGAGTCTGTTAAGTTGAGGGAACTTTCATCACCATACTCCTTGTGGATCCATTTATCTCCCTCAAGACTTGTCAAAGCACTATCTGAGACTAAAGAAGAGCTGCAAGGCTGGTTCTGCAACAACCTCTCAGCAAACAGGTTTCCTGCAGTGCCCACAGTCTTTAATGTGTCATTTTTAATAGGAGTGGTGACCAAAGTCATTTTGGCTTTAACCGTTTTTCCTTCTTTGAGAAAGCGTAATGTTTTGTCAATGAACACCACAATTGCAAAGGGATCAAGGAGACACCAAAGCCGAGCCAATGCAGAAGCTGTTTCCAAGGTATCCAGTTTTTCTTCAATCTCCATCACTGTAGCAGATAGGTCACCCAAAAATTGATGCATATCAGACCACAACCTACAATCCACTTCTGGCAAAATACAATCTGCATAAGTAAACACACTCTGCCCACACAAGGTCCAGGCCCTCCAGAATTCACGGATTGGTCTTCCTTCAGGTGACTTGTAAACATACTCACCAATTCCATGAAATTTATTGTTTCTTTTACGCCTTCCAACTACCCATCCTGCTGCTCTGAGCAAACGATGGATGTGGTACCGGAGAAGAGGGCGAGGGTCATTTGGAGAACCCTTAATCGTTGACAATTCAGCTTCATCCAGTTCTACAAAGCAATGGTCCCTCCACTTTGGCTTGGGTGGTCGACGAATCCCTGACGGCTTTGCGACACTGCCAACCAACAACTTAGTTGCATAGCTCTCCTGAGAAGCAGGTGATGCAATTGCTTTACCAGCTACATCCTTCCATCCATTTCCTTCTATTTTAGACGATCTTAATTTTGATGAATCCACCTCACCAAGCATGTGACTTTGGTCCAGCACAGCGTGCCACTTCTGCAAATACGAACTTGATTTAACACCTTGGTTCGAAGATTCAACTATATGACATAACACACTCTGAGAAGGGCAGAAAGAGGGTTGCTGTGTTATATCTGCAGGTATTCTATCCAAAGAAGTTAATGGGTCAGATTCCTTTTCCACATGACTATTGGTTAGCTCTTTTTCACATGGGTCTTCTCTAGAATCTTCCTTTACGTCATGAGAATCATGAAGTAGTGTCAATGCGGAATTCTCAACACACAAATGTCCAGGTTCATCTGTCTGGCTAGTAATGTCGCCCTCAAAATTGATAACTCCGGCCACAGGACACCTATTGGTACTGCTCTCATTTCCGAAGAACACGTCTGCAAATAGCTGAGTCTCATAAACTGACCCATCAAATCCATCATCAAGCAGACCTTCAATGTCTTTGTTGAACAGCATCTTTGCTGAGTTATACTTCTTCACAATCCTAAAGTTCTTTGGCCTATCCTTCGTCAAATGCTAACCATCAAAAAAGGAATGAAAGACCAGCACCGACCCTCACTACAAAAATAAATATCATCGTCACAATGATCTATAGTCTGGACGTACAATATCCACTTGTATGCTTCTGCAGAGAAACAGAAACACAAAATTCTCAGTAAGTCGTAGGAATGCAAGAACTCATATCCATGACAAATGAAGCAATAAGCAGTTCTATTCCCACACTACAATAATGTACTTCTGAAAAATCAAATTCCAATAGCTTTGTCACACGGAAGTATAGAAACTTATTGGCCACAATGACTAGTGCCTGTTGCCCGCAATATCAAAGATAAAATCATCATTTCTATCCCCAAGTCCAAAGACACGATACAAAAGATCCAGATGAGGGGGGGGGGGGGGGTGTAATTAGTATGGAGCAAATAGTGTTTCAGGGACCAAGGGATATGGTGTTCCTATCTGATTCTTCAGAATTATCTTTTTTGATAAGGTAAAACTTTTATTAATAAGGTACCAAGATGGTACAATAAAGTTACAGAAAAACAACCCAAATTACAACATCAGCAAACTATTCTCCCCCTCCCAACACCTCTAGAAACTCCATAAATTGATTCAAATTTCCTAACTGGCTACATCTACACCAAAAATACAGATTATGAAGACATATATTCTTAATTCTAATAATGTTATTTCTATGTCCTTCAAAGCAAACCTTGTTTCTTTCCAGACATAAGGTCCATGGAATGCACTGGTTCTCCACATCTGTTTAAGCCTTCTAGGTACTCTTTGGGATTGCCAAGTTTCTAATAAGCCCCTCACAGTTTGATTCTTCAGAATTATTATAGACCACAGTGGACGTGCAAGCCTCACCTGTTACGGAAACAAGGCTTGATCATTATCAAGCAAAGGATGCCATCTAAGATGTGTTCCACTTCTTGAAAAACTAGATAGTGCAACAAGCTTAGTCCTGTGAGAGGTGGCCAGCTGTGGTAATAATTAAACATTGGAGGAGCAGGATGCATTTGAAGCCAAATGAGGCAACCATTAAAGGTTTAACAAACAGTCGGGTAAAGGAAAACTTATTATCTCCTAATAATTGATCTAGCATCAACTTGTGGCATGGAATGAGTGCATCAAAATCAACGCTTTCTCTGTTTGAGCAGTGGCTTCGAATTTTCCTTTTTTTAGTGAAATGTTAGGACTTCAGAGAATTTGATAATCAGGAAGTTTAGATACTTAGATACTAGTACTACATTTCCTAATTTGATGCATTTTCATCACAAGTGTACACAGCTGTCCAGAATTGGATACTCGCCTTTATATACATCCGCAGGAACAGAAAAACACGTGGAACTATAACTCAAATCTAACAAAATGCGCACTGACACTAAAAAATCTGACAACAAAGAGAGGCGGCTTGAGCAAACTGTTCAGAGTAAGCTAACAGAGACGAAAATGAACGAAAAGGAAACAAACAAGTAACAATTTCAAGTGTAATTCAGCCAATTGTATGTAAAAAGGCACAAAATTCAGAAAGTTTCCGGATCCAAAAAGGCGCATCTGTATAGATATCAAGCGCTCGATACGCAAAAACAACAAATCCGCCATCGCGTCGCATGCAGAAGAAAAAGGAAAAAAAGGAGAAAATGACCTTGTAACAGAATTTCGGCGAAGCATATTAGGGTTTTTGGACGGTCCGTTGCGGTTAAGGACAAAGAGGATCTGAAGATAAGGTCGTTAAAGGTAACAGTAGAACGCCGTTTAGCTTCATATTGTCATACAAGTCACGAGTAGAGGAACGAAGGTGTGAAAGGATTTGGCTTTTGCTTTGGGAAGACCGAATCGCGCTCCAAAGTACAAAAGATAGACACCATTAACAGCTGCATCCACTTTCTTCTCTCTTTCTCTCTCTACTCCTTCCGCCATGTGCGTGAGTGACATTATATACTGTTTACCCACTTAGCATTTGTTTGTCTGTTTCTTCAATTTTACACTGCCCAATTATTTTAAAATATATATTTACCGCTTGCTTCCATTTTTTCTCCGTTTTGAGTTTTGTGTTTTTACGAATATCCAATTCTTTTAACTGCGTATTTGCATGGGCAATCTTTCTTCCTCTTGAATGGATAAAAGTTAGGCAGATAGATCGACTTTGTCTTTGTGCATTATGTCTGTTCTATTTTTATTCTTGCACGAAGAAAGGATTTTATTTTCTTTAAATCCAGGTTGAGTTCTGAATCTAAATGTAATTGTCAATATATAGATTTTCTAAGGGCTTTTATTTATATTAATATGTCACTAATTATAAGATATCCTAGATTTACGCATAAAATAATACATAATGGAAACAAGTAATTGTTTGACCAAAAATTATAGCTCTTGGTTCAAATAATAAAATTTATATAAATAAGGCCTAATCTTAGCTAACAATAATATCCCTAAGATGGAGTTCTCAAAAGTGCAATAAATACTATGTAAGTGTATTTGGGGAACGGCAGCAGTAAGCAATAAATATTCCAAGAAATCAAAGGCAATAATGTAGCATTCAATATTAATGTATAACAATAGATGGCATTTAAGTAAATAGAATAAATGAGTCACCCGAGAAATGATGGAATCAATGAGTGTTCCTTCTGACAATGATGAGTAATGGAGAATCCTTTGAATCTTTGAGTTATTCTCGGATCTAGTGGAGAAGTGTAGACAAGAATCTTAGGAAAAGGTGATGTTTGTATATTTGTAAGGAGATCTGATTCTCTTTCTCAAGTCAAAGTGTATTTTTACAAATAAATATCACACGTCCCCTATCATTGTGTCTCTTTCTATTTATACGGAACAATGTTCCCAAAAACCCTATAGTACGAATATTCTCTTGTGTATCCTATCTCGAAACTAGCCGTTATACCTCTGTTAAGGATGCTCGACCTCGGCCTCGATGACGACTCCTCGACTTCAGACTTGCTGACTCTTCGACCACGGCCCTCACTGATAATTAGATTACTTCGACGCGTGGCATCCCAAGAATGTATTACCAATATCTTTTTTACTAAAGATGGATTTTGAACCATACAGTTAGTCCCTCTGCTTATCGAGGTCGTTCCCCTGGACGATGTCGATGAGCGGACAATGTCGTTTATAATTCAATTTTATAGGGTTGGTTGAGGTCGTGGTCGTGGAGATAGGTCTACGTGGCCTTCTCAGGTCCGCATATTTTGAATTTTTTGAATTACCCGGGAAGTCTGTGGAGCCATCTGGTCCAAGAGAAGAAGTGACATCATGACGTCATGCATCATAATGATATTATTTCCCGTCGTATTGTATCGATTTAGGTGTGACTCTCGATTGGCTCTGTCGTTTCGATTTCTGTGCTAATCATGACCCGTCGTTTCGATTCTGGTGCCTCTCAAACATTATAAATAGGGGAAGGTTTGTTGGTTTTGAAACTTTTCCAAACCCTTCCTTCTCTTTAAGCAATAACTTCTCCTTTATCTTCTTTGTAGAACTTTTTTACTCACTGTTTCAGCGACTTGCATCGTTCCTCATTCCCTTTTGCTTGTTATCCTCCTTCTTTACATTGAATCATGTCTAACGTACCTTTTGAAGCCGGCGAGGGGAGTCGTATTGCTCCCTTGGCAGTGGTGTTTCCCTCTCATGAGGAGAGTGTTCCTGCCATCGTTGAGGATGGAACCTTCCCGTTGGTGGAGGAGATAATCCCACGTAACCCTAATTCCATATCCGATTTCACAAAATTACCAGATGTCAAACTGGAGCCTTTCGGTCAGTGATGAAGGTGAAGGAATTGGCGGAGCATAGGGCTAAATTCGGCATTCCCAATCACATTGAGTTGATCCCGGCCGGGTGGGATACGGTGCAAGTCCACCGTCCTAGGTATTGCGCCCTTTATGCCTACTCCTTCCAAGTCGGCTATTTTCTCCCTCACCTACCGTTGGTCGAGGAGTTTTGTCATTATTACGGTGTTTGCCCAACTCAGCTTGCGTCGTAGGTCTATAAACTTATAAAGATGCTTACCAAGTTTTCTGAGATGGCCAGGATCGAACTGAAGCTGCGGCATTTAATCCATTTGTTTGCTCCTAACTTTTATAGGGGGTGATGCTGAACCTTCGCCACCGAGGGGGGAAATGCCTGGTGGTGAATATGTAAGACAAGGCTAGTCATCAATTCTGGTTTAACTTCTTCTATGTCAGGACCGAGGACGTTATGACCAATGTCGACGGCTTTCCCGAAGCTTGGAACTATACTCGTAAGTATTTTGGTCTCTTTATCGTGTTTGATCTTGAATTTTGACTTCTCACCTTCTTATTTTGCAGCCAAGACCTCTCCTCCTCCTTTGGTCGCTCATATTTCCGACTTGATCGATCGGCTCATCCCCACATCGCAGGGGTTCGTGAATGGCCAACTTTTTTCAAGAAGTTTGGGCCTGCTCTCCCTTCGACTGGTAATTTCCTTTTTATTGTCGGTGTCTTAACTCTATTTTTTTGTTTACCTTCACTAATTTTCATTTTCTTGCTTTTTCTTAGCTTCGGCTAGGGGATCTACGAGGAGGTCGAGAGCTCCCGCACCCTCGCTCCGGAAGATGAAAGCTATTGCGCCCTCGGTTTCTGTCCCTCTTTCGACTACGGCTGATCCTACCTTTGTTCTAGTCCCTCCTGTTATTACGCCCAAATCTGTCCCTACTTCGGCCATGGAGACTTCGGTCGTGGAGGATTTGTATTCTCCCTTTTATTCTCTCATCGACGAGGATGACGAACCTTTTCCTAGCGATGGAGATTTGATGCCTCGTAAGAGGAGGGCCGTGGACATCGGGGGAGAGGGGCCGTCGGCCGTCGATGTAGGAGATTGTGGCTTTGTCCTTTGGGAAACGGCCACAGTGCATATCTGGAATATCCCAGAGGCAAGTCCCGAGGCCCCTTATTTGGAGGATACGAGTATGCGACCTGCGAAGGGCGTCGAAGGCGTGGTAAGCAATGACGGCCATGTTCTTCTGAGACGGAGAGGCCTCGTCTTCTAAGATTGCAGCGGACGTGCCTTCATTGACTGGTGATGGAGGGAAGTTTGTTGATGAGGAGGATGTTGGATCCGATTCCGACATGGACGTAGACGAATAGAGGATGATCGACGAGAGGCTTACTCAGTTTAAAGTGAGGTTAGAAGGGGGTTCAAGGACTATATAGATCCTAATGGACCATAATCTTCTTGTGGATACCGAGAAGATTATCCCCTCCCTCATCCCTCTTTGTTCAGAGATTGAGGGTACGACCCTCAAGAACATAGATGACAGCGCCTTGTCGAATAACACTGCCGGTCTCGCCCTTCGGGTAAGTGCATTTGCTATCACTTATTTTCCTTAGGTTTTGTTTGTTACACCACCATTGATGACAATGCCTTGTCGAATAACATTGTCGGTCTCTCCCTTCAGGTAAGTGCATTTGTTGTTAGTTATTTTCCTTAGGTTTTGTTTGTTACACCTTATGCGTCCCAAGGTGATGTATAATGAATATGAGACTTATTAATCATGATTTAAATGAGTGTAAAGTCATAATATGACTATATATTATGTTTAGATATAAGATATAAAGTTTGGAAAAATCGAATTTAATTTGCAGAAAAACCGACTAAGGATTTGCCTTGTAATGAAGCTTTTTGAGCAATATATTTCGTGTGATATATGAGGTCTTCTTGGGACAAATTATATGCCAAATTAAATGTCTTGTAATGTAGTTTCCAATTCTCTTAACCGTTTGTTTATACGACATCCGAAAAAGAAAAAAAATATAAGCGTCGGAAGAAGGGCCAATGCTAGGGTGCCAAGCTAGCGCCTCTTTGACTTTACAAAAGTTATATA